CCTCCCCTCGGCAAAATGCTCAACCAGTTCAGCAACTGGGCTAAGGACGTGTTCACGGAATGGCTGCATCTCGGGCTGCTCGCAAAGCCCAGCGAACGGCAGCAGGAGGTGAACGTAACCCGTTTGCTCTTGCCTGTCCCTTCCTGTGAGCTTTGGCAACCACTGTCTGACCACATAGGGGAAATGCTTTGAACTTCCCTTCCAGAAAGGGTCAACCCTAACGTGACAGCGAGCCCCTCGTGTTGCCACACTGCCCAACGGTCACAGGTGCCTCTAGAGAGGGATACGGGAGGAGCTAACGGTGGAAAGACTGTGACCTGCTGGACTTTGCTCCTATGTGGGAGTCAGACAGGCCAGAGTGAGGTTAGTGGAGTTCAAAATGGTAGGAGACCGGGCCAGAGAGTCTACAGAACAGGCTTCAAAGGTGCCTTGGGGATCCAGAAGAAATTCCACTCCCCTGGCTCTGAGCTGTTTTACTTCTCCTCTTTTCCAGTTCAGTATGCTCAAAGAGAGGGCACCAGCTGCCTGCCAGGGGGAGGGGTGCCAGCAGTGCAGCCAATGGCTAACACTGCGTAGTACCGTGTGTGTATCCATGCTGCAAAAGAATGGCCACTAGGGTTGCTAGATGGTTTCAACAAAAATACCGGACACACTTGACATGACATCACAATCGACATCCCATCTGATTTAGAACACACCGGACAGTTCTGTTTTCTCTATTGGTTTCCTGAACAGAAATACTGGACTGTCTGGTTCAAAACAGGACACCTGGCAACCCTCGTGGCCACAGTCTGGGAAGAGTTCAGAGCTGGGGGAGTAGATGTGTCACCCTGACACGTGCTGGTGTCCCACCTTGTTTGAATCATGCATACTCAACCTGCGGTTCTCCAGCAGGCCTGGGGGTGTCTCAAAGGTTGCAATATGGCGTTGTGTTACATTATGGAAATGGTGGAGAACCACCCTGGGCTGGGACTGCTCTTTTAGCTACAGGTTGGTGACGGTTGCTGAACATTCTCTTTGTGCTGCAGTTAACAAAAATACTCGCCATGCTCTTGTTAAAAAACCTTCCCCTTCAGAACCGGAACCTGCCCATTTCTGCTCCCTTCCATGGCTGGGAATTTCCTAGCCAGGTGCCCTTGAAACCTGGGCTTTTTGCACCTCCGGGCTGTCTGAGCCTGTGCCTGGCTCAAGCCCACTAGTGGATCTGGGAGAAAAGGAAACCATTCCACAGGCAGCCACAGGCAGTTTTCAAATATACCAAGAGAAATAGGAGCCCGAAAGAGAGACGCCTGGGGATGAGCTGCAGATTTACGTGTGTACTTTGAAATACTAAAGGAAAGGTGGCTATCTTGGAAAGACCTGACTTTCCTCAAGGCTGGGCTCTTCCAGCTCAGCCGGTGCTTCACTGAGGTGGTCCCTGTAGGCGCTGGGTTGGGAGGACAGCCGGTGGCCATGCCAGCATAGTGCTCTGCTCTGCACCACACTCGTGCCAGTGGCACTCAACCAAAAAGCAGGAGGCGTGGTCCGGCATCGTGGCCTGCTTGTGATCAAGGACTAAGTGGTTGAAATGGTCGCTGTTAATGTTAAATCCAAAATGATGTTATTCCTAAGAGCGAGCAACCATGCAGGGCCCTCCCACTCGCCCCCGCCTTGCTCCCCATGCCCTAGTCCCAAACCATTTTGTACCAGCCTGGCCCATTGGCTCCGCTTGGAGCAAGATCTAGTCCAGAGTCTGTGATTGGTACAGAGAGCAGATCCGTTAGCAGCTCTGCCACTGAGCTCTTGGGGGCTTCAATGCCCTCTCAAAATCTATTGCTTAAAACGAGCTAGCTAGATACTTCCAGGAACACCAGCCCAGAGGAGTAAATTAAACTTCAACCATTTCCATGTGATTCCTGGGACTCCCATGAGTAAATGGGATTAGGAGGGCCTCTAGGTGGATACACAGCTGGAAGGTGGATGCTGCTAACTTTAAATCAGTTACACCAATTGAATCCTTTTTCTCTCCCAAAGGCAGCAGGTGCTAGGTATTCATGCCAAGAAAAGAGACACACATCCTACTAGGTTTAGCAAATTCCTTTTGGATGTGCCGATTTGTGGCCAGAGTCCCATGGGACATAAAAGAGCCATCAATCAAATGGTTCTAAAATACGCACTTTTAAAGCCCAACACGTGTGTTTGTCCCTGAGTCCATGTTGTAATTTCTTCTGTACAAATGAAAAAAGAAATTAAAAACGTAACGTAGCCATGAAAGTAGCACATGAGAACAGCTCTCCCAGCCAGCAGCCGGTTGGCTGGTTAACCTTTCAGTTAAGCATCACATGACTAACCACAAACTGGAAATACTGAATGCAAAACAAACCCCAAACCATACATCCACTCGGCGTTTTTAAAATATTTACACACATGCACACACAGGTTCTGTGTTTTAAGCACCTTTTGTTTAAGATAAAAGAAGAGCCAGCCATACAACTTCAGTGTCACGGGCTCTGCTTGATCGTTAAAGAACTAGGACAGGAAATTTGGTAGCACTACTTCTAACGATCGCTGTTTTATAACACAGGCAAATTGCAGGGTGTCTCCAGGTATCGTCTGAACACACCTCTGCCACAGCATTAGGCGGGTGGGCACGCTTTATAACAGGAGCATTTATAGTCAGCTTATAAAGTGTAAATAAATGATTCATAGCTACCTAGCACATTGCGAAGAGGACAGGCTGTGTTAATGCTTGTAAACAATGGAGCTAGGTGCCTAGTGATCTGTCTACCAATGGTTTGACCTTCCATTAAAACATTATTAATCACTGGTTAACCCTTGATATAAAATGTGATGGTAGTTTTGCTTGTTTTCCCCTGCTGCCTAGGGATAACACGATGCACTTGTGCAGAATGAGGGCATCAAAACCAAGTTTCTTGCAGTCTCCTTCTTTAAAAAAAAATGGATCTTAAGCAACAAGATTAGACAGTAAAAATGAACCACCACTGAAACAGGCAAGGGGCTATTGCACTCAGAAGCTGTTTTAACAGACCTAAGGGCCCAGTTTGCACTACTAAGAACGACTAGATCTTTGCCAATTACTTTAATTGCTGCTGGATCAGGGCCTAATGGAACAGTTTCTGATTCTTACCATCCTGGGAAACGAGTGAGGATGGGAGGGTTTCCAAGAGGGAGAAATGCTTGCAAGCAGCTGAGCAGACAGAGGCATTGGCAGGTGTGTGATGTGAACAGCAGCCAGAGTAGCTTGTGTTTCTAGGAAGCATCACGCTCTCTCTTGCAGCTGTTTGGCACCTGGTTGGTCTGCAAGACAACCATCGGTGCCAAATGGGGGGCTTTGGACCCATGTGACATCATGCTCAATTGGTGACATCACAGTTGTTTGCAGGGTGCCAGAGGCATAGTAACGGGTGGGAGCTGACTGGGCGGCAGACAGTTTCTAACCTCATCCAGCTCTTTAGTGGTGTCTGCTCCAGTCAGGAAAGCGCCCTCTAAAGCCACCCTAGATGCATGAAACAGCCTAATGCTGCAGCCCCACTGCCTATGGAAAGGGGGAAGGAGACATGATGAGCATCCAAAATTCAGCCTTGATCCTATGCTGCTACTTAAGAAATGTGTAACTGGCATGGCCATGGCTGGGCCTAGGAAATAGCTCTTCCTTGTCGCTGCAGGAAATGGAGTCGATAGTCATGTAAAATTCACCAGTCCCAACTTGCATCAGGGCTCACGTGAGAAAATGGCATTTAATAGGCAACCCAGGATGTGAATGGCTGTAGACAGTGCCAGTCTCCGGTAAGGAGTTGGCTGCAAACCAAGTACTAGACATGTGTCATCACTTTGAACGTGGCCCCGTGGGACCTTCAGCAGTGAGCAGCTGACATTCCATCACTCCACTCCCTGCTCCAACGCAGGGAGCCAGTGTGGAGCTGGTCTCAAATGACAGATGGGATGGGCATCAGCCCGTCCTTGTGAAACAACACGGGCTTTGCAAGTTTTCTCTTTAAACTGCTGCTAACCCATCCCGCCAAGAGATCGGCTCACGTAAACACGGCTGCCTCTCCAGATGCTGACAAGGGTCAGCAAAAGCAAAGAGGAACAAATAGTTGACCCTAGCTCTGTGGGAATTTTGTCCTTGACTGCAATGAAAGCAGTGATTGGGTTCTAAAAATCAGGTTCCTATTAAAGGTGTGCCCCAGATACAGAGCTCATAGCCAGCTGGAAGGTTCGTGCATGCTGGATGCAGGGGGGGAGGGGAGGGCGTTCAGGTCCAGCATATTGGTTAGGAGCTGTCTCTAGTTACTATGGTCACCAGTAATTCAATCAGAAATAGCTGCCTGAAGCACCCTTTCCATTAGTACAGGATGATGTTACTGTTTTTTTAATCTTTGCCAGGCACTGCTCTTATTTCTCTAGGTGGATTAGAATTTGTTTCCAAGCTGCGTGAGAACTTTCTGTTCAGTTGTGTCATGACGGCAGCACAGCTTTGAATTTGGAGACACTAATAATAGTTTTGTGCAGAACTTTAAAAAAGCCAAATTGGGAGAGTTAGAAAGTTAGGAGACAGCAAGGCTGCTTCCAACAATGGCCAGTTACACTGAACCACATAAATATGTTTAAATATGAACAACATTTAAAATAATCCCATTTGTTCCTGTGGTTTTAGAGGCTGGGCACCTGCATTTTAGCAAGATCCTGCAGTCAAAATGGCTTTAGCCATTCTCTGGGCTAACCAGATTTGTTAGCCACCGTTCCTGGAGGCTGTCCCTTGTAAATTTATTTCCTCTAAAAAGTCTTAGGAGCTCAATTAATTAGGCATTTAAAAAGTGGCTCTCACATGGCGGAGGCCCTCAATTTATAATTATTAAAAAAAAAACCAATTTCACAAAACCTATTTGGAAAGTGAAGGTTTCAATGAGGGTTTATAGAAGAAATCCCAGTGAAAGTGGCAAGCCGTAAAACAAGGCGCGTTAATGGCAGAAAGTGATTTTCATAAAGCTTTGCAGTTGCCTGCCACCAGGACGTGGGCCGTGGAGTTTCATTCCCCCATGGGGAATGGAGGGCAAGCCGTAAAACAAGGCGCATTAATGGCAGAAAGTGATTTTCATAAAGCTTTGCAGTTTTACTGATCTCGTGGATCATTCACATGTGGCTCCTTTATCTCGGCTGTGGCCACGTACGGCTAAGCCCAGCTCTGGCACAGCAGCATTAAACCCACCAGGGACGAATATGGTTATTCAGGTCAATCTTTCGCACAGTTAACAACTCCTGGTATTTTATTTCTCACTGTAATCCTGTAGGGACTATCAAACTAGCCAGCATTAGCTCTGCCTTTTACACTGGAATCCAGGTGCTGCCTTATGTACCTCTTGTTGGGGGACTTGTATCTTTTTCCATCCAAGTAGACAGACCTGCAGGACCCAGTTCTTGGCCGTGGCTTGCACCTTCTCAGCTGCTCCAGGCTTCCTCCTCATTTCTTGTCCTCGCTCCTCTTGCCTTTCTTTCCTTCCCAGTCTCTCCTGCTTCCTCTCGTTTCACAAACTTTCGCTACCAGCTCCAACGTACTTTGCCACCTTTGTGACTGCTGCAGAAGCCCCTTTCCGTGCTGTTCTCCCTAACACTGGGCACGGTGGCGAACCACACGGACTGACTGAGCACGGGAGTTAGTCCTACCACTAGCTGTAGGACTTTGCTGAAGACGTATCATCTGAAGAGGTTTCTCCCTATGGAGGGTGGAGGAAGAGGTTTCTCCCTATGGGGGCACTGAGGCGACAGTGGGATCCCTTGGGATTCATTAGCGCCTCATGTCTCATTTGGGTGAATCCTCCGGCCAGTCGGAGCGCAGCGTACAGGCAGTTCTGCACAGTCCTCCTCTGTCAGCAATGTCAGTCCAGGCGTGGCTAGTGGGTGGGCCCCGAAGAAAGCGGGGCTTTCCTCAGAAGACATTTCCATGCATGTCTTGGTGTGGTGTCCCTGCTGCTGTCCTGGGGATGCTGCCTTGCCTAGCTCTCCCCTGGGGGTGAGGCTGTCCTGGCAGCTGGGAGTGGCGCCTCTCACCGCTCCCCAGAAAGGGCTGGGATTTACACAGTGCTGCTTTGCTAGTTTGTTTTCCAAGGGTCAACATTTGACTTAAAGTAAAAAGAAAAAACTAGCAAGTCCGGTCTGGAAACGTGCGGATCACTGGCGGCCCTACAGCCCCTAACCCAGTGGAGACCAGAGAGAGCCTTTTTCAGAAACGCAGTGACTTGGCTGGACCGAGGACATGACAACCTGGACTAGCAGGTAGGCCCCTCCTTCGTTGGTAAACCATTGGCTCCGAAGATCTATTACAGGGTTACAGCCAATCGCAATAAACACCCCACAACTTCAGCCCAGCCTGTGGGACGGATGAGTCTTTCAAGGGCATCGGAGAAAAAAGCAAGTCACAGGGTGGGGTGAAGGTGGCTGTGTCTGCCTAAGCTGGTGAATGTTCCTGACCGTTTCATGAGAGGATTTGTTCCTGTCTCTCTAGCGCCGGCTCCCCGGCAATAACCGCGCAAGAGCTCCCTGCTCCTGAAAGCACCAGAGGAATGCAGTGGCCCTTGTGCTCCTTTGGGAAGGCTGTGGGGCAGGAAGGGTTTCCAGACGCGCTGAGCAGCTGCAGCTCCCACGTATTTCAGTGGGAGTTGTGGGGGCTCAACACGTCGGGTCTTAGGTATTTGGTAGGAATATGGACGATCCTGTCTGCTGGCAGTAGGGCCACAAGCCCAGAACCACTCGAGTCATAGTACCCCCAACCATCATCCTCCAGAGAGCAGCAGCCTCTTCTTGAAGTGCCCAGCTGGTCTCTACGCCTGCCTCTGCCTCCCCCTGCCCAGCATAAGCTTGCAGACTCAGCTCCACGGAGACTTGACCCAGCCACACCATGTGACCAAGTAATCACGGGGTGGGGGGTGACCTCATGTGACACCCCTTTCCCACACAGAGCCATCACTTCTGGCTAGGCAGATGCTCAAGCAGAGCTCCCTCTACTCCAGCATGGCACCACTGAACAGACAGCTAGAGAATTAGAGCATGCAGTTAAGGATCAGCAATGACAGCCCAATCCCAGCTCCCCGGTTAACTCAAAGAGGATCTAATATACAACCCAATTTTTAAAGGGGGTGGGGGGGAGGAGGTCCTTATTCCCCATACATTGTTACATTTTCCTTGAATTTGGACCAATGTTGTTACTTTGTTTCAGTTTGCACTTGAACCTGGTATCTCCATTTGTGACATCACAATCTGTTCCACAGAGAAGAGTGTGATGTCATAAAGAAAGGCACTGATGTCACAGGCTCCCTAATAGAACGGCAAGGTATCAAGGGGCATCTTTCCACACCCATAGATGCCATGTGACGTTGGTGTTAAGCTTAGGGAAAAGAAGACCATTCATTGGGAATACCACACTCAAAATTCAAATATTGGGAACCACTGCAAGAGCAGCTGGAAGAACTTACTCAAGTATCAGGGTGGGAGGCAGGGAGCTGGGAAAATACCTCCCCTCAGAAATCATTTTCCCAGGGTGGCTGACTGGACACAAGTTTTTCCGGACACTTCAGCACTGATTCTTTGAAATCATTTCTTGCCATTTAAAAGCTGCCCCCTGGCTTGCTAGGGACGTGAGGGTGATGTGCTGCTTTCTCTCCTCCTCAGCTCCAGAGTGAAAGCCGCAGTCATCGGGGGAGGGGAAGGCGAGATATTGAAGGGGGAAGGAAGAAAATAATCGGTGCGTAAATGTGGGCGCTAGTGTAAAAAGGGGAGTGAATCCAAAGGAGAGCCCAGCAAGGACCCACTGTGGAGCATCGCTAGTTCAGAAGAACCGGCGACGCGTCTCTCGTGGGGATTGGGTTATTCCAGAGAAAGGATGAAGACGCGTCCGCTGGAGAAAGCATTGCGAGACGGGACGTGAAGCTGGAGAGTTCACAGGGTAATGCCCCGCGGTGCAGAATTCCTGAAGGAGTTTAGTAGTTGTACTGGCGCTGGCATGGCTGGTAGACAAAGCTGCCCTGCTGTTTGGCCCGCCGCGGGTGGCGCTCTCTAGCACGATTCTGCCGCTGCATGACTTTCTGACTGAGCTTGTGCTTCTCCACCAGCTGCTTTGCCCGCTGGATCCGACGCGCCTGGCTGACCTTCTCCAAGATGGCGGCTTTCGCGGTGAGGGAGGTGGGGTGGTGCGGGGCGTGGCGCTCCAGCCGGGGCTCAGGCACGTCCCTGGAGAGAGATGTGGACATGAATGGGTTAAGGTTAGGACTGAGGACCTCAGACAGCTGACTAGATCCTACTTTGCATTGAGGGCGCGAAGGGGGCGACTGCCAACTGGAGCCTGCATGACCCTCTGGCCAGCTCCCTTCTGAATGAGATGTGCGCATGCCCGCACCACAAAAAATGGGCCCCGCGTGTGAATCAAGGGCCAATGGAGCTCTCCTCATTTTCCTCCCTCCTTCTAGCTATATCTGTAGCCATGTGGAGAAATTGGAAAGGGTACAGAGAAGAGCGACAAGAATGATTAAAGGTCTAGAGAACATGACCTATGAAGCCAGGCTTCATGAACTGGGCTTGTTTAGTTTGGAAAAAAGAAGATTAAGGGGGGACATGATAGCGGTTTTCAAATATCTAAAAGGGTGTCACAAGGAGGAAGGAGAAAATTTGTTCCTCTTGGTTTCTGAGGACAGGACAAGGAGTAATGGGCTTAAAGTGCAGCAGGGGAGGTTTAGATTGGACATTAGGAAAAAGTTCCTAACTGTCAGGGTGGTCAAATACTGGAATAAATTGCCAAGGGAGGTGGTGGAATCTCCCTCTCTGGAGATATTTAAGAACAGGTTAGATAGACATCTGTCAGGGATGGTGTAGACGGAGCTTGTGTCACGTTGCTGGATCTGGAAGGGAGCAGCCAGATCCCTGATGCACCCATAGGTGGGGGTGTTGGCCCCAAAAATGGTATAGGATAGACATCTGTCAGGGATGGTGTAGACGGAGCTTGTGTCACGTTGCTGGATCTGGAAGGGAGCAGCCAGATCCCTGATGCACCCATAGGTGGGGGTGTTGGCCCCAAAAATGGTATAGGAGGGGGCCATGTGAGGTATTGAATAGAAGCTTATTATTTGATAATCCTATGTACGCTGTTCTTGTGTTTGTATAATGTCTGTATGTGCAATTATTAGCATGTA